TACCGGAAACGGAATCCCAACTCAAGAGTTAGCGACGATTGAGGCGAGGCAGGTGAATAAAGGTTGCTCCTATAAGACGTTTCTGAGTTGCAAGCCGCCAGAATTTGTGGGATCARACAATCCGGTAGCGTGCATGAACTGGCTTCGAGAGATCGAACAAGCYTTCCGGGCTTGTGACTRTGACGAGGGGCAAAAAGTGAAGTTTGGCTCTCAAATGTTGAGGGGTGCAGCTCTTACCTGGTGGAACATTGTCATCTCAACCATCGATGTCACTGAATTGACCAAGATGAGTTGGACCACATTCAAGGAAAAAGTAATGGAAGAATATTGCAATGAGCAAGAGATGGACCGCATAGAAGAAGAGTTCCGAACCTTGAAGAAGGGAAATCTGACGGTAAGAGACTACACTCGACTCTTTATGGAAAAGCTAAACTTGGTGGGACACGTGGCCCCAAYAGAGAAGGACAAGATGAAAGCCTACCTTAAAGGGCTACCTGCTGACATGATGGTAATGGTTAGGAATTCAASGGMGTCCACCCTCAGAGAGACAATTGAAGAGGCCAAGATCCTGGAAACGGCTTACGCTAGAGGAAGAGAGGAGAGGGCAGTGGGTGGTGAGAAAAGAAAGTGGGAAGGGCATCATACACCTTCCAAGAGACCGAATTATCCCAGCAACAGCAATCGGGGAGTTTATCCTAGACATGAAGCAAAGTGGTGTTCCAGATGTCGTACTAAACACCATGGTCCGTGTACCACCAACCCCACTCCTACAAAATGTCATAAATGTGGAAAGCCCGGCCACTCGCGAAATGAGTGTCCTATCAAAGGACCCATCTGTTTTGGTTGCGGAGAACCGGGTCACATCATGAGTGTCTGTCCGAAGACAAAGATTGGGGGAGCCCAAGGAAGGAAGGAAATTATCCCGAGAGCGGCCGGTCGAGCCTTTCAGATGACGGCCAAGGAAGCCAAGGCATCGACGGATGTAGTGTCAGGTACGTTCCTTGTTAACTCCGTACCTGCTCGTATACTTTTTGATTCTGGTGCTTCATGTTCCTTTGTGTTCACTGCTTTCTACCAACACTTGCATACACCACCTAGTTCACTGAAAGATGCATTAATCATAGAGATAGCCAATGGTAGCCAAATTCTGGTGTGCGAAATTGTTAGAGGTTGCATGTTGGGGATCGGGGGAAAGGAGTTTCGAGTAGACCTCATACCCATGGCTATAGGTGGATTTGATGTTATAATTGGGATGGACTGGCTAGCAGAGAACCAAGCAGAAATTTTATGCTCTAAAAAGTTGATCCGAATTCCCTTGCCGGATGGGGACGCAGTACAA